TCCCTCCCAAGGTGTGTGGGCCTTGCCAGTCCACTGGCGTAGGGAAACTCTTGAGTATTTGGAGATGCAAATTTCCGACTTGGGAATAGACACGGGGAAAGGCTGAGCCTAGCACAGTGGGGAACATGGGAAGGTGGGGAAAATCCTGCAGGACAACTGGGAGAAGGGTGAAGAGGGGTGCAAAGAACAAAGACCAAGGAAGAGGTGAGCATCTGGGTCCCACAGGGTCAACAGAGGTGCGAACAAAGGGAGTTGGCAAACCAAGGAGCCCATAACGAACTTGAAGGTGTGCATACTCCTGGGATCTGAATGCTCCCGCCCTCCTTATTCTGTGCCTTCCCTTCAGCAGTCTGCTGGACTCCCGATGCCTGCGGGAGATTGGCGTGGATGTGTATGTGCGTGTGGCCAGACAGATGCGTGCAGAGACTGAGGAGGCAGATGAGGGCAACCCAATCCATAGTGAGGAAAACTCAGGCTTGGAGCCTCCTGGGGCTGGGGCAGGACTTCCAGTGGGATTTGGTCTTGGGGGCCAGCATTACTGCACCCTCAAGAGGGCAGTAAGAGCCCAGGGGTGTGTGAGCTGTTCTTGAGTTCCCAAGAAGGTGGAGCCAGCACCCCCAACTCTCCCCAAACACAAGCTTCTAGTCCAGGCCCCGCCCCTGCTCTCCCTTGAGGGGCTCCCCCCAGCTCACCCCCTTACCCTTGAAGGAGGGAGGGGTAGCTGTCCCCAAAGTGTCCTTTGGGGAAGTGGCAGAAGGGAGATAGATGGAAACAGCCTCCTTTTTGTCCATCTGCATGCTTGGGGGATGCTTGTCTTCACCTAGACTGTTTGTCATTTGGCCTGAGACAGTAGGACACAGGAATCCTACCTGTGATGATGCACGTGGGTTCCTGCAGAGGTCATCAAGTCCAAGGGAAAGCCAAAGCAAGTTTAACAATTCTTCAGTTGTTAAACTTGGATCTCACTAGTCTAAGTGGCCTTGAACCTGCCCTGTATCTTACACTTGCTGAGCTCCTGTCTCAGGTGTAAGCCACCTCTCCCAGCCTGAATTCTTCAGAGACAAGCCTGATGCTAGCTGGGAGGTACTGGCTGAAGTAGGTAGAGCTTCAGCCTCTGCTCTCCCCTCTCTCACGCAGACTCAAGGCACTTCTAGAATCATCTGTGGAATGCAGTTTAAAAATGACAATTAGAGGCCAGGTAGGGTGGTACAGGCCTGTAATCCCAAAACTCAGGAGGCTGAGGCAGCAGGACCACTGCAAGTGCAAGGCCAGCCTGGGCTACAAAATGAGTTCAAGGCCAGCCTGAACTGTGTCGTGAAACTCTGTCTTTAAAAGACAAAACAAAAATAAAAAACCACAGTTTAATCCCCTCCCCCATTTACAGACAAGATACTTCCTGCCAGCCAAGGAACAGGACTGCCCCAGCCTGGGCCTGAGTCTCTAAGCCTAGATTCACTCTTCATCACACACACAGCTGCTCTGAGAAGAAACTTTTCTTTTCCCGTCCTAGACATAAGGATGCCAAATCTCTTGGCAGTTTGAGGTCTGGCTCCATACAGGTGAGACTCATTTTCAAATAGGCCACCAACAGCCAGCAAGTGTGCAGACAGACTTCTTCGCACAACTCACTTGCTTAGTTTGGCAGATCTGGGCAAATCATCCTATGAGCCCAGCAAAGCCTGAATTAATGAGTGTTAGTTCATCTTATGGTTTGTGACCCAGAGATCATGCCAGTCCCCTCACCAAGGACACATTTAACCTGGGTGCTGTCTGCTTAGAGAGGTGACAGCTGATGGAGAGAGGCTTTGGGGAGACTCAGAAAGACACCCCCCCCCTCCATCTCTGTGCCCCTGCATTGTCCTCCCAGTGGGCTAAGGAGAAATTAAAACAAGAGTGTAAAACACTGCGAGATCTTCAGAACCAAGTAAACTGGTCACTCCTTATTTTCTAGGACCAGAGAGACTCACCATTCCCCAAATCCCTCCACTTTCCCCGCACTGTCTTCTCAGGCTGTCTCCCACACTCAATCACAGGAGAATCCCTGCTCCTCAGGTAACAACTGGCCATGTCCTGGCCCATGCCGATAGAAGTTCAGAGAATGCAGGTTTGATTATTAAAGGGGGAGAAGGGTGTAGTCACCTGTCACAGCACAAATGCTACAGCTGTGCTCTTGGGATACCTTATACAGTCAGCTGTAGGGACTGCCAGAAAGTGAGACCAAACCTCTGTCACAAGGGTGGGGTTCAGCCAGGTACCAGTACTGCAGAGCTGACACACTAGGCTCTTCTCCTCAGCTATCTGACCAAGTTTGGTACTATGGGGAAGCAGAGCTCAAAGGCAAAAACAAAATCCTGGGCCCCAAATCTATGTGAAAGAAAATTCTCCCCAAATCTTTTTGGTAAGATGATCACCATCTGTTACAATAGATAAACTTCCCACATCTGTGCAGCTTGCAGCCTGAGATTTGAACCCTGCAGACACTGCTGGAGCCTTCATGTGGAATCAGGCAGACCCCAGAAGCCAGGGGCCCATCCAGCTCCACAGGAGGGAGCTGCTGCTGGGCTGAGCTTTACCCAGGCTCCAGAGCAAAGTGAGGACAAGGAGTGTAGACATTCCAGTCACAAGAACGAACTGGCTGGTTCCCCTCACTACGACCTCTGTCCTAGAAGGTACTGGGGTAGGGGAAAGAGTGGGACAAAGTCTCAAACCTGGGAAAGGGTCTGAGCCCACCCTGGTGCTGGTCCTGGAAGAGGTGGAGACGCCCCACTCCATCTGTCCCCACCCCACTCTGTCTCAGAGCTGCCTAGGCCTTGGCCCCTGTGTCCCTAATGGTCAGGGACTGAAGGGAGGACAGAGTCATCAATCTCACTCTCCGGACACCTCTCCCAGATTCTCTTCTTTAGAATCTTCTTTAGAATCTTCTTCTTTAGTGAATCAATGCTTTTGATTCCCTTGCCTTTCTGTTGCTCCTGGGATATAAGCTGGCGATTTATTCAGGGCCATTTGGGCAGTAGAGCTGGAGGCCCACATCCTAAGACAGACCCTGACAGGAAACAGCTTTATAGAACCCAGCCAGCTGCAGCCGGTTTCATCCTGCCCACTCATTATTTATGCAGCACAGAGCTTTTCTAGGCCCTCTCCCCCTTGCTGGCCCTGCTAGGTCATCGACCGCCCTAATGGTGAGGCTCTGCAGTGGTGGGCCTTAGCCGCACTGTCCCCAAGCCTTTCTCTGGCCACTAATTAGCTGAGGTCTGTAGAGTTCACTTTGCAAATGGGAAACTGGGCCTAGGGGCCCTGCTAAGAAGCAAGATGGGCTGAGCTGATCATCAAGCCTCTTCTCTTGCTGAGCCTCTCTCTGCTCTCTGTTGCTAACTCACTGCTGGTGCATGTATGTGTTGGTGTGTGTGTGTGTGTACGTGGTGCCCTCAGAGTGGGAACAAGGACAGAGGCTAGGGTGGGCAGGTGAGAAGTTAGTTCTTCCTGAGCCCCAGGGGAGAGGGAGCTCCAGGGGAAGGGAGGGAGCCAAGGTGACAGTCTCCATTGCAGGGGCTAGAGGGCTTGACTTGGAGCTGTACTTGCAGAGCACACACCCACTGCTCTGACTTAGCATGGACTTTGGCGAGGGGTTCCTGGGGGATCACTGATGGAGACTCTCTGGGCTAGCCAAGCCTCCTTTGGCCCCACCACTGTGATTTAGTTGTGGATACTGCTCAACCCCTAAATCAACTGTAGGTATAGTAGCCGGATCCCCACTGCACTTGTGGTAGTAAAGGGAACCAAGGGACACACCCTGGGGGGTGGTCTCAAGCACTCACATTTCCTGGATGTAATTAGGTGAAAATGCCTGGCAAGAAAAGTCTAGCGATGGGACACAGAGGCAATACCTGGGACAGTCGCCAGACTGCATGGAGAGGTGTGCCGGCTGCCAGGAGCAGCGGAGGCAGAAGAGGGGCAGGGATGCTGACTCCCCTTATGGTGCCCAAAGCTTCACACAGCCTTCCCACCCTCCCATCCTGCCCCACTCAGATACCCAGCATGGGCTGCTCTTGATCATGGGAGTGGGGGGGCTGCAGCTCAGACAGCAACCCTGAAAGGCCCTCTCAGGACTCCATGCCACTCCAAGCCTCCATTTAAAGCATCAGACATAAACTTAACTCTAGAGGAACAAAAGAGCCTGTATCCTATTACACTCTAGAAAGAAATCCGTCAGACATAGTAAAAATGCATGGAACTGTGTAAAATGTGAAATGCTGGCCGGAGCTCCATTTGTTCTGTGGTCTTACAGAAATGGTAAATTATTCATTAGACTTGAACATCAGAACTAACCATTACTCTGTGCACACGGTCTGCGGTCCTGGGAACATCTGAGCCCCACTGCTTAGGGGCCTGTGAATGTGCTTCTAGTTTCCTGGCAAGGTCACATCTTCCAGGGAGGGGATGGGACAGGGTCTGCATTTTCTAGGCCACACAAATATGTGTCTCAGAAGCGAAATGGGCTTGAGAGCGAAAACCATCCAGAAGAGGCTCACAGCATCTAAAGCTCCCTCTCTCTCTACCTCCCAGATGCTCTTGAGAGTGGAAAGTACCACTGAGACCTAAAAGTCACCCCTCAGCTGGGGCCCTGGAGCTGGCGCCCCACCTCTAAACCTGCTCCTCTAGGCCCTGGAAAACAGGATGAAATTAGCAGTGTCGGCCCCAAGAGAGTACCTTTGGCTGGAGATGGGGCGGGGTGGGACCCATCTGGATCTCCCAGCCCACACTCGGTGGACTCAGTTCCAGCTACAGGGAGCTCATCCCCACCCGCCACACCCGTGTTCCCGCCCCGGCTCTCCCTGTCCCCTACGAGCCACATCTTGGGCGAGGGTGGGGTGGGGAGTCAGCGCAGTGTGAGACGGGGCAAGGCCAAGGTCACAGAGGCGGACAGGGACGGAGAGGCGGGATGGGTTCTGAGGTCCCCGCACTCCCAGCTGTGCTCCGGGGAGCGCGCGAGGGCCACTCACCGCCGGGACCACTTGGCCGACGGCCTCCCGAAGGGCCGCTTCCACAGCACCCCGTAGAGCTGCACTTTGGTGCTGATGTCCAGCGCGTCCGAGTCGGCCTGCTCCAGGGACGGCGACGGCGACACGGAGTTGGACTTGGAGGAGAACATCCTGCCTCGGCGGCGCAGCCCGCGTGCCGGCCCTCTCCCTCCCCGGGGCGCGTACGGACAGGGTGGACGGCGGGAGGCCGAGGGGCGCGGGGTCCGCAGGCGGCCCGGCCCGGAGCGGCTGCATGAACGCGCGGGGCCCCGAGGCGGCACCGAGGGGCGCGGGCGCGCGGCTGGGCTGGCGCCGGCTCCGGGAGGCGCGGCGGGCGGACCTCGGCGGGGAGGGCGGCTTAGCCGTGGGCCGCCCCGCCCCGCCCCGCCGCCCGCGGCAGCCCCAGTTCTGGCGGCCCGGATTGGCCCGGAGTGGCAGGTGAGCCGCCGGAGGCCGCAGGCGAGCGCCAATCAGGGCGGGCGCCGGCTGGAGGGCGGGGCTGCGGGCGCGGGAGGTCCCTGCGGGTCGCGGCCGGGATTTGGCCGCAGCACCTCCCCGGCCCCGGGATCTGCGTGGTCCGGGGCAGGCGGGCTTCATTCCGCAGACACCTGCTCGCCTTTGGGTCCGGGAGAGGAGCAGAACTGGGCTAGGGAGGAGCTCCAGCTCAGCCTTTCCCTCGCTCTGCAACCTTGGGTTTGTCACGTGCGCCTCGGGGCAGGCTGATGGCCGGATAAGACTCAATCAGTGTCCAGGTGCCCGCCGCGACAGAGGCTCGGTCAGGGGGTGGCATCCTCCCTGCCCCCTCGGGTGAGTTTCACTTTGCACAGCCGCCGCCTGGCGCAGATCCGATTTCTGTTCCTGGAACTTGGCTGTCTGTGTCGGCATTTGGCACTCAAGGCCAGTCTGGAGCTATCAGTGTAGTCTGAGTTCGTGATTTTTCTGCGCGCCCGGCCCGTGCTCCCTAGGGCTGGCTGCATGGGCCATCCACTTCCGCTGCTCTCGGAGTTGATATTCGGTGACAGCCCCACTTTATGGCCTGTGCACGTATCTGTCCAGCCGCTGGCCTCCGCCTCCCCATGAGTGATGGAAGGAAGTGGATAAGCACCACTTCAAAGAAGAGGAATAAATTGGCAGGTTCGAAGGCTGCCCACCTGGCCATTCCCTTTTGTGACTGAGGAGCTGTGGGACAACACTGGACAGTCACCATTCAGCCTTGTCTGCTAGAACAGTTTCCCCACTCAGTGTCTCTGATTCCACCTATATGAGAGAAAGAAGTCCTAGGTGAATCAAAAGCTTACAAATGAATACCCTAAGAATCAAATCGGCTTGCAGATAGACATTAACGAGACCCCATTTTATTTTTATTTTTGTTTTTTTGGAGATAAGGGCTGGCCTGGAACTCACTGTGGTCCTCCTGCCTCAGCCTCTGGAGTGCTGAGACTATTGGCATGTCGTGGATGCCAGCCTGTCTTCTGCAGTGACAGTCATGAAGGTGGCTCTTGGCAGCTTACCCTCACTCCCAACTTTAAAGGTTATTGTGTGTGTGTGTGTGTGTGTGTGTGTGTGTGTGTGTGTGTGATACTACAGAGTAAAAATGCACGGATCTTAAGTACTTATTAGGTGAACGTATGTACTGTGTAACCACCAAACAAGATACAGAGCATCTCCACCACCCCCAGAGAATCCCCTCATGTCTTTTTCTAGTTGTTTCCCCCACCACTGTACATATCATTGTATAGTATCTTGAAATTTTGACCTGAATGGCTGCTAACGGGGCATTCTCCACATACCTCCACCGCTTCCTTTTGTCTTACCTGCCTGGCTCACTCTTGCTGGCATTTAAAGTTTGTGATCCTCTAGTGGCTGGAAAAAGTTCTGCCTTTGGGATTTCTGCTTAAAGATAGATAATAAAAACTGCATTATTTTGGGAACCAAAAGTAGGAGGATCACAAGCTCAAGCCCAGCATGAGCAACTTATTGATTTGTCTCAAAAAGTAAAAAAAAATAGGGCATTTAGCTCAATGCAGAGGCCCTGGGCTCAATCCTCAAACTCGAAACAAAACAAAATCAACATGTTGCACTAAAAGCCTGAAATATGGAATTTACTGGTCAGGGACACATATGGTCAGGGACAGATATGAGGAAGAGCACTGCACAGGCTTGTGCCTTTCCTGAGAAGATGGTGACCAAGACACCGGACTTGCTTGGGTGGCTGTCATGGGTGCCAGCCTGTCTTCTGCCGTGACAGTCATGAAGGTGGCTCTTGGCAGCTGACAGAGCAGTGGCTTCCTCATCCGACCCTTCTGCAGCAGCGTATTGGATATTATTCTAGAAGCTCTGGCCCTCCCAGTATGTATTTAGTAAAATTCCTTTTCTGTGGAATCAGGTCAGCAGCAGCTTTGACTGCTTGTGGTGAAGACAAGTGACAACCATGGGTCAGGGAGAGGCAGGATTCTAGAGTCGTTTGTAAGAAGTCCTTCAAGGAAAAGGTCCAGGTAAGCCCAGATGACCCTAGGGAAGGCTTGTTGTCACCAAGAGAAGGACAAAGCCTGGGTTTCTTCAGTGGCAGAGACCAATCTTTGCCCATTTCCTTTGCACACAGACATCAGGACAGGCCTTAGCTAACAACAGAGTGATTACCAGGACAAACAATGCCAGTCTGATCAACTGCTAGGGACTTGAGCGGCTCTCTCCTCAGTTAACAGTCCAGGTCTGCCAGGTCAGCTGTGGGAAAAGCTGTTTATCTTCCACTGTGTTCTCCGTCCCCTGGTGGGAGTGTGAATGCCTGGCTGAGAGTTCTCAGGAAGACAAAACAAAGTCACAAGCCGGGGCGCCGCTGCCCCCCCCCCTGCTCCCACCTAAGGATAGGGCTGCCCAACCTTATCAGGAACCAAGTGAGACCAGTCGGGGAAACTTGGGGTCCCTAAACTGCCCCCTCCTGTTCAGTTTTGGAGCTGATGTTCTCAATGTGTCCTTTACAATATACCTATTCCAATCTAATTTTGAAAATGGGTCAGGGAATATATACCTTTTTTGGTTTCCCAGATGAGAAAAATCAAGATTAAAAAAGTTGTTCACCAAAGTTCACACAGATAAGTTGTTTCCCAGAACACAGCAGGCCTTCAAGTGTGCACGGAATAAAGGGAGTGGCAGAATCAAACACCTCAATTTGGTCTGAATTCCTCCCCAAAGTCAGACCCTCCCCAAAGCAGTGCGTGACTGTAAAATGCAGGCTTTCCTCCTTTTCAGTCATTTTTCAGTTACCAGCTCACCTAAACCTCAGCGATCCTGTAGAACTCCAGAGACCATGTCACTAGTGCCATAAAACCTCCACCTCCCCCCTGGGCTAGGGGTGACTCCTCATAGAGAACGTGGGCCTTCACAACGTGGCTCCCAGCTGTAGTGCATGGGATCATGAGAGGGTTATGAACACGATCGTTTCTCATGTCCAGTCTTTTTGGTGTGAATATTGCCTTTTTCCTCCCTCAGTACTGGAGACTGAATCCAGGTTCTTTGCACTGGGCTATGTTCCCAGTTCTTTTTAATTTTAAGTTTTGAGACAAGGTCTCACTCAGTTGCTCAGGCTGGGTAGAACTTAAAGTCTTCCTGCCTTAGTCTCCCAGTGTGCACCACCATACCTGGCTTCTGCTCTTATACTTGAATAGTGAGTCAGACAAAAGGCTCATTTAAACGCCTTGAGCCAGGAAGACACCCTGAATGGGCTACAAAAGCTCTCAGTGACTTGGCTGGCAGGATCTCTTCCCACAGTGCCACTTTGTCCTCTCCTTGCCCTCTCTGTCCCGGATCCCACCTCCAGGTGGTTGAGCCATACCTTTTCCATGTATTTCCAGCATGATGCCAACGGAAGGAGCTGACAGTGCTGCTGCTCCAGCTTCTCTGAGCACTAGGGTCAGTGTGCTGGCCAGGCCCAGCCAAAGCAGCCCTATAGAACCACGATGCAGACATAGCAGGAAGATCTGACCTGGGATAGGTTGCGTGTTTTCCACCGAACCTCTTTTCCTTCTCTACCCAATTCCACGAAGGCGTGGCCCCATCAGCTGATACAACACCTCCCTTGGGCTCCTGTGAACCTCCACCCATCTTTCCTTCTTCCACCTGTCTGCCTGCCTAGTTTGGGGTTTTCATCTGTGTTTTTTTTCCCCTCTTGTAGACTGTGAGCTTCTTCAGGACAGGAGCCAGGGAATGTAGTAGGCACTCAACAAATGCTTCCTGATCAGATTTGCCTTCATTTGACCCCTGGTCAGGGAGTGTTTCCTGTTTTACTTTGTCAACCTAATGGATATTGACTTCTCCAGCCCTTGGCTTCCCCTCTCATACAACAATCTGTGAGTATTTGAGAATGAGTGGGAAGCTGCCATGACCCACTGCGGCTCCTGAGGTTCTGAGGTTCTTTGGGTTAAGGACCAGCAAGAATATGAGAAAAATAAAAGACAAAGCTGGGGTCAGGTGAGCCCTTATCCTCCTGATGGCAGGAAAGGAACTGCACAACCACTGTAGCACCTTTGTTTATATACTGGGAAAGATGATGTCAATTTCAGCCCCTCTGCCTAGCAACTCACTGCTTGGCAGGCCTGGGCCCCTTGCCTTCTTGGTGCTGGAACAACTTGTTTACATAGCTTGTTTTGGTCTTTCTGTTTTTTCTGGGCTGGCCTGCTTTGACCCCACACCTGTGAATAATCTCCAGCTTCCTCTGCTCCCTACATATCCCTCTTTTTTGTTTTGTTATTGCAAAGGACAGGTGGTCAGTTGAAGCTGGAAGAGCTGTGTTGGAGAGCTCTGTAGATCTTTTTAAGTGCAGTCCAAAGATTTTAAATCCCTGCATTCCACAATTGAAACCCTGCACAATCCATTAATCTGTGACAGTAGTCAGCTACCAGTGTAGCTGGAAACTGCCAAAAGGTATTACTCATGAGTTTCTTTTTTAACATATTACTTTATTTTTATTTTATTTTATTTATTTATTTATTTATTTATTTTTGTCTTTTTCCTTTTCATCGGTACCGGGGATCAAACTCACAACTGCCTGCTTGCAAGGCAGGCGCTTATGCCGCTGAGCTAAATCCCCAGCCCACATATTACTTTATATATCTCTAGTGGTTGCATATTTTCTGCAGGATGTTCAAGACCTAGCTAAAGTGATATTTGTTTTGAATACAATTATTTTAATCTATCAAGGTCAGGCAAGTCTCAGGAATCCTTGGAACAGCTATAGTGCCTCTTAGTTCTTCCATCAGGGTCAGCCATTCAGATGAGTCATGAGCATTGCTCGACCAAGTTGCTTTCTGTGAAAGCTTGGGAGATTTTTGCT